TCGAACTGGGAGTAGTTGTACGTGTTGAACCCCACCTGGTTGAAATTTCTGCTCAGATTCGACGAGTCGTAGTCGGTGGACGTGACGGCCTCCATGTTTATCTGGAAGAAGAGAGACGTTCCGGTGAGGATCCGTGTCGCGGAAAGGATCGAGAAACGAAGGGAGGAAGAGCGGAGGAGAGGGGAGGAAAAGGGCGCTCGAAAGCAAAGGCGGAGGGAGAGGGAGCCGAGGGGACCATAAATCGGGCAACGTCTTACTCCTAAATGCCCGGGGTATTTACCGTGAAACAAAAAGCCACGGCGCGATAAATAAAATCTGACGCGACCGAGGGGGCGTGCCTCCCCGTCTACCTCTGTTTCGCGCCGCTTCCTTCCCTCTGCCCCGCTCCTTCTTCCTCTTCTTATCTCGTCGGGAGGACGAGGAAAGCGGTCGTTCACGATTCCCCGCGACGAGCGTGTGGAGAGGGTTGTGGAAACGGCCTCGGCCTCTCCGAATTCCACGTCGAAAAATCGAGTCGCGCTCGAGGAGGAACCGGTTCGCACCTCTTCCACCCGAAGGCCAATCGATCGCGCCTGTGTGCGTGCAAGCGTCGCGAGAGAGCCGCTTTCACGATGCGATCGAGATCGCGCGCGCCGTTTCTCTCATCTTTTTCGCCTTTTTTTCTCCCCTCCCCCCTTCACTCGCTCGAGCCCTTATCCAGAAAATATCCGCTGCGAGGCAAGTGGCACCGGTAGATGCGAGATCGCGATTACCCGATTCGACGAACTTCGCGGCAATCCACCTTTCGACGAGTTTGCGCCCTACCTACCGGCTTCCTCTTCCATTGACATAACCACCACGAGGTTAATTACGAGGTTTAACCCCACCCTCTCCCCCTAATATCGCGAATTAAAATTCGAATTAAGATTCGAAGGGAGTCTCTCGATAGAAGAACGAGGGGAAAGAACGGCCGAGTCTCGATAAGAACGGAATTAATGAGGAAGGAAATACGGCTGACGGAGTAGATTAGACGGAGGGATGATGGCGATTTCGCGAACGATTTCAAACCTTTTGACCTGAAATTTCGAAATTTTCGCTGACCGAGAGAGAGAGAGAGAGAGAGAGAGAGAGAGGGCGTCGGACGGGAGCGCGTTGCCGGGTCACCGGGTATATCGAAGCTCGGTAACTCGTTCGAGGAGCATGGAGGAGCATGCCCCCTCGGGGCCCGCGGTTATATATTACCGGCTGTAATGAAGACTCTAGAGCTCGGCAGCCGAGCTACCGAGCCGAGCCACAGCCTTGTTTATCACCTCACCTCAAATATACAATTAACATGTTGAAAACCTGCCCGGAGCTCTCCGAAATCGCAACCTTCCCTTTACCTCGCTGCGCCGACAAAGAAAGGGTTGCGAGGCCCGTGTTCCACTCTCTCGTTACACGCCTCGTTAAAGCCTCGTGTCTCGATCCACGATCCCCCTCCTCTCCCGACTATCTCTCCATCTCCGAAGAATTCTCCGAAAATTACCAACGACTCGACCGAACATCATCGAGGAAACCTTCTGAAAATTTCGAGTAAGTCTCTCGAAAATCGGCGAAAGAGTACGGTGAGATGAGAACTGGTCTGAATATTGGCTCCAAAATCGACTTCCCCCCCCCTCGACCGATCTGAACGTAATTAAAGAGAAAGGTTGTCGGGCAGGAGACGTCCGTGCCGATTTTCCACCATTTATATTCAAAATGGCCTCGGATAATAATTCGCCTTCCACGCGAGAAAATGCATCGGCGCGATCGTGATCGAGCGGGGAGGGGAGGGGAGGAATGGCGAAAATGGCGACACGGCGGCGACATCGGCAGGAGCGTCAACGGAAACGTCTGGTTACCGGTTCTAAATAAGAATTACGCGGCCGATTATTCTCCTTTCCGTTCTTCGCCGCACTCATCGTCCTGACACGCGCGCGTATCGATAGCAGTCGCCCGTTGCGTCAGAATTCTCGTTTATCTTCATCCTTCAATTTCCCGTGCACTGGGATCGTCCACGCTCCCAGAAATAAAACGAGACTATCCCACACACACACACACACACACACATCTACCTAGCCTACACGCGCGAGAGCGATGTACCTTCCAGCGTGTATTCCAACGTCAACCGATTCACGCAGCTACGATGCGACGGATATTGCGTCGAATCGGCTAGAAAGTCTCTCATCCTCTCCCGGCTTACCGAAGAATGGATGATAGGAGGCGCGCGCCCATCTTCTCGCATTTTTCCCGATCATTTATTCTCTCCCCCCTTCCTTATACAGTGCAACCTTTCGAGGATTAATGGATCCGCCTTGGCGAGTTTACGGCATCTTTAACGCCTGCATCTTCAATGAAATCGAAGGGGATTCTTCTTTTGGAGAGGGGGTGTCACGCTTCGACATTATTAACGAGGGGACCGATTAATTATCGTCTCTCGATCTTGTCACGATTTTAAAACGATTTTCGCGGGAAGAACGGCGGCGGAACGATGCTCTTCCGGGGAATGTTTCAGGCGGCGATCGAATCGAGAGCGAAAGGCGTACACCTAAATATCGATCGATATTTCTTCCTGGTCGTATCCCACGAGGGAACCTGTATCGGAATAAAATCGTTGAAAGTTGCGGGTTCGAAGGAGGACGATAATGACGTTGTTTGCATTGGCAATGATAAGTTTGGTCACGGAGCGGCGAGGGGAAACGAGGGGCTCGTGCCTCGGTGTCTGGGAACGGGGCCCCGTAATTACGGTTACCGATCGAATTATTATCCTGCCGCGACGGTCTCGCGCGATACACGCACGAAGGCGTTGGAAAGGAAAGGAAACGACCACCTTGAGCGAGCGGATTCGAGATCAGTGTTATTAGCGGTAGACGAAATCGACGAAACTCTCTTCTCCCCTGTCGCTCGTTTCGCGAAACGTTCCCCTCCCCCGCGTGCTCCGCGTGGCAGAAAATTAAAAATCGGTCGGCGCGCGTTCGAAAAAGGAAGGGAAAGAGAAAAGGGAAAAGTCGGTTGATTACAGGTGTTCGAGGCCCGATAATCGGCCCCCACCCCTCCCCCCGACAAAAGAGAAATCGCGCGTCCCCGACCGTAATAACGAGGCGAACAAC